TATATATATATATATATATATATATATATATATATATATATATATATATATATATATATATATATATATATATATATATATATACAGTGGCCTAGGTTAGCGAACTCAATCCGTTCAGAAGATTGGATTAGATTGTAACGACGTTAGTTAGCGAGGAAACCATTGTTTCAATGGGTTTTTGGGTGGTGGTTCCAGCTCACGAAAATTTCTAACTTCAACAAAAATGGGCGAGGAAGAATTTACTTACTTTTGAGGAGGTGTATGTAGAAGGCTCCTGGATGATGGTGATGATGTGCGCATTTGAAGTGGGAGGTGCAGGAGGAGAAAAGGGGAGAAGAGAAGGAAGTGGAAGTGGAGGAGAAGCATTTTACTGCTTCTTGGAAGGTGAAGTCACCTTCCATGAAAATGTCAGGAACCTCTGGACTGACAGATTCTCCACCATGAACATCCTCTCTCCTTCTTGAAGTGGAAGGCTGAGGGCTAGCATCTTGTTCCCTCTGCCTTTTTACTGAAAGTATCAGTGTGGTCTGTGGGGCATCTGTCACTCCTCACCAATAACTTATGTTTAAGAAGGGGCCACCTGGAGTCCTCAACATGACACAAAAGTTAGTTCGGATTTTTCCACTTCTGGGTGCTTTGAAGCCCAGTTCCTAGACTTCTCCCAGTGGTAAATCACATCTTTCAACTGTTTAGCTGACATATAAAGGGTCATCACTTTCAATTTCCTCCTCACACTGTCAGCCTCTACCCGTAACATCTCATCCAGTTCCTTCAAGTGGTAGGAGTAAGTTCCTCCTCATGGGGCATCACAAGCTCTTCCACATCCTTCTCCTCCACTTCAAGACCAATAACTTGACCAATGGACACAATCTCCTGGTGTCTCTATTGTCATCCTCAAATCCCTCCAAAATCATGGACTACTGATGGCCACAGTGCTTTCCATGAAGAATTGAGGGTTCTATTGGAGACTTCTTGCCATTGACACAATCAATTTTACAGCCTCCAGGGCCCGTTGAATTGTGTCTTCCAGAACTGTTTCAGTGTTGAGTTCAGGATCAATGGAAGTTGCCTGATGACACCTCCTAAGCATTTTCTTCATGTACAACTTCTTGAAGTTGCTGATCACATTCTGGTCCATTGGCTGTATGAGTGATGTAGTGTTTGAGCAAAAGCAACACTTTCACAAGTCAAATTTATACTCAAATTTCTGGCAAGGTCAGGGTCATGACCAGGGGCATTATCCATGAGGAGAAGAGCCTTTAAAAGGAAGTTTATTGAGGTAGTTAGGTAGCTCTTGACAGAGGGGCAAAACACATCAACAGCCCATTCATTAAGAACTGTCTTGTCACCCATGCCTTCTGGTTGGACTTCCAATAGAAACTCAAGCATTGTTCTTACCACTTTCTGTTGCTTGAACACCCTGGGGTTTTCAGAGTGGTAGACAAGCATAAACTTCAGTCAGGAAATCCCCTGAAGCATTGTGGCACCAAGCAATAGAGTGAGAGCCCGGTCTTTCAGCAGGTTTATGCAGGTAAAGAAACTCATCATGGTGATGAATGTTCTTTTGGGCATCTTTTTCCAGAACAGCCCAGTTTAAGTCCCAACATTGAACACTTGCTGTGGAAGATAATTTCTTCTTCCATCCAGTTTTTTAAATTCAATTAAAAACTTTGCTGCCCCTTCTTTATCAGCACTAGCGAAAGCTTCACCATGCCTAACAACACTTAAAATGTCACTTCTTTTCTTAAATTTTTGAACCAGCCTTTGCTAGCCGAAAATCATTTCAAATTCTGTTCCTGAAGAACCAGGTTGATCTGTCTTTAAATGTTCGCCATCTCCCTGGCTCTTTCACAAAATGAAATCACCAGAAACTGAATCACCTTTCATCTGTTTTCCCTAATCAGATGATAAGTAACCTCTCAGTTTCTACGATTAGGGATCTACTTTTAAACACTCTTGTAGATTTGTCTCTCACGTTCACTTCATAGAATTTGTCTTTTGTGCAAAATTGTCGACACAGTTGATGCGACATGCCATATTCTTTGCATATTTGATTTAATACCTTGTTCGTGTTTTTGTGTTATTTCACCGCTTTATTTGGTTGAAATCACTTTTTCTTGATCTCTTAGGCCCCATGCTGGATTCAAACAATGGCCTTACGTATTTTTCAAAGTTAAACTAGCTGGTAAATAAAAGAATATTTTCTTTAAAGTAACACTGCACTGCACTATATTTTGTCAATATGTAAAATAATTTTCAAAATGACCAATAATTTGCTTGGAAACATAGAAAAAAAAGCGTTTAGTTGAAGAGTCTCCAAACAGATGTTACCTCAGTGAAAACAGAGAGAGACTGGCAGCCTGTTTAACATGTTAGAGGCTGGATGCAGCGCATTAAACTAGTCACTTTACCTTCAATTATGTTCAATAATTGTTAAAATGACTAAAAAATTGAATATTAAACTTTTAAAATTATTGAATAGTATAAACTTCTTGATATTTACAAAATAGTAAAATTTAAGCCCTAGAACCGATTAATGTATTGGCCAGGACTGATACTAAAAAGCTGGTTGCCCGGTCAGTGCAAGCGAAAACATGTTAAGGGTCGGTTAAGTAGAGGGTTACGTTAATGAAATTTTTGATTAAGCGAATTGAAGATCCTTATGGAAGGCAGTTAGTTAATGAAATTACGTTAACCGAGGGTGTTAGATTAGCGAGGGTCACTGTATATATATATATATATATATATATATATATATATATATATATATATATATATATATACATATATATATATATATATATAAATAATATATATATATATAACATATATATATATATATATATATATATATATATATATATATATATATATATATATATATATATATATATATATATATATATATATATATATATATATATATATATATATATATATATATATTTTCCGTACGTGACCCTGGTTTTAGCGAGCTTTTCGATTAACGCTTCGATTAGCAAACGCGGTCTTCAGTGCGATTGCGAAAAATTAAACGCTTGAACAACATGTTGGCGATCATATCTGGTAAAATTATATATATATATATATATATATATATATATATATATATATATATATATATATATATATATATATATATATATATATATATATATATATATATATATATATATATATATATATATATATATATATATATATATATATATATATATATATATATATATATATATATATATATATATATATATATATATATATATATATATATATATCGATTGTTTGGAACAGTGCAGCGTTGATTTAAAGAAAATAATCTTGAATTAAACCAGAGAGCTAAAATTTTATGGGTGAAATGGCACCATGGGGTGACTTCTCTTCCACCCCAATGCCTTCTCTTCTTCCTTCTCCTCCACCCCCATTCTAAATCCAATCATCATCATCATCATCCAGGAGCCTTCTACATACACTGAAGTAAGTGAACTTTTCTACCATTTTGTTGAATTAGGAAATTTTAGGTGACTGGAACCAATTGCCCAAAAACCATTCAAACAATGGTTTGGGTTAGCAAGCGTTTGAGTTATGACGACCTTCTGGAGCAGTTGAGTTAGATTAACCGAGGGCCACTGTATTTATTTTTATAATCGCAGTCATGTACTGAATATTCTACCCTATGCAAATAATATAAATTTTAAATGAATTATTTCTAGTGTGGTCGACTTCCTACACAAAGACAGGCTATAAATAGCCTCCTTATCTCCTCTCCATCTGTTACCCTCTGTTCTGAGAGAGAAGGTCTTGGTAAATAACTTTTGTTTGTTTATTTTCATTGTTTGTCTAATTTATCATGTTGTATCAAAGTAATATTACTAAAAGTTTTAGGCAGCTACCAAAGGGCACATTTTCTGGAAAATTTGGAGAAAATTTTCCTGGTACCTGGAAATTCCTGAAAATGACGGGGATGGGGGAGTTTTTTCCGGGTTTTATAGATGAAAATCAGGTGCATTTTCTGGAAATTATAAGAAAAAATTTCCAGTTCCTTGAAAATTCTGGGATAGGGGATATTTTCCTGATTTGAGAGATGGTGTAATGGGCAATTTCTAGAACTTCCGAGAACATTTATCCGTTAACCGGAAAATTACGATGTTGAGGTATTTTTTCAGGCATTGAGAGAGTCGTCTCATTACCCGGAAGTGCTCTGTTCTGGCTAATAGAGATACTACTGATTTATGATGCTTTTTCCATCTAAGGCTTATTGAGGGTTAAATAAAATATAATTTAGTTATCGTACATCACTATGACAGAGGTATCCATGTAATTTGACATAAAATTGATAAATTTTATTATAAGACTTGATTACAGCAGACTGATACCTCAATTAACCCGTTGAGCACCAACCAATATTATAAGTAATAGACACCCCAGTGCTGTGCCCCCCCTCCCCTCCAATTTTTTTTTTCCCTAATTCATCTGAAATTGGTCCAGGAATCATGAAAATTACAAGAATTCCCGAGTGTGTGTGAATGGTGGTGGAGGAGGTAGGGAAGGTCTCACGGTGCCCATCACCATGGCACTGACAGTTTTCCATTTTCCGAACACCTCTTGTGTGTGTTTTGTTTCTTTTGTTTTATTTCTGGTTATTCCTCCCACATCAATCATTATTCAACATGCATGTTAGAAAATAAATTAAACATTGCTATGAGTTGATATTTTTTTATGATGTTTGTTTATACACGTCCCCCCCCCCTCAATTGCATACAATTGGGTATTATCCGTTTCTGTGAATGGTAAAAGCTGTGTAGGGTGTCATGGCAGCACTGCCACTGCCTGGTTCACATCATATTATTACATTAATAGTTCTGAAGAGTGTGATAGTCCCTTGAACCATGGAGCTACTTTACACTCATTACAGCAGTAACGAGTATCCTTCCTCTTCTTTGCTCTTCGTGGCGTGTTGTAGCAGACGTGACACTGCTTCTGTGCTTTCTTCTTGCCAGGTGTTGGTGGTAAGGTGGAAGGAAAGTGCAACCTCTGAGGCGGAGAGTGTGTCACGAGCTGGATTACGGGGTGTTACATGGTGTTGTTGCCAGTACGTCTGAAACATCTCCTTCACCACTTCAACAAGAAGATGAAGTGTTCTGATCATAGAGTGGATCATTATCCGACTCAGAAAAATCAACTGGGGTAAGCTCTGATGTAGGCTCATGCTCGACAGCGAGTTGCGAGTATTCCGCCTCAGTCCGCCTGGAGTGAGAGCTGTGTGACATTTTCATGCATGGCTGGCATGAGCGTGACTCACTGAGTGATGAATACTGTTGCCACTGTGGCATGCAGGGAGTGGAGCCACATGGCCCGGGAAGCAGTATACCAGTAGGCAAGGAGGGGGTGATAATGTAGCTCTAAGAGGCATCTCGCTACTACCACAAATATGAGTTCAGACAATGCTAAATCTAGCCATGTACTTTTACAGGATTAGCGCTGGTCGTGGCTGGTCACCCAACCCGTATAAGTACTGAATTAGCGCTCGACGGGTTAATCAAAGACATAATTAGCAATAGGAACTTAAGATAAATCTGATCAAACTTATCTCTGGAACAAAATTCATATGAAGAAATAATAAGCATTTTATCTTCTTGGTAATATGAACAATAAGCAAGCCTTATAAACATTAACATTCTTAGAAGTGATTTACAGTACAGGTAGTACCTCTCCAGTCTGGCATTCTGTGGTCCGGAAACTCCAAAGGTCCGGAAAGATTTTAGTTTGTCCAATAGGTAGATAAGCATATCTGAATTGTTATTATTATTACTGGAGTATTGCATTTTCGCCCCTCAGGCTCCAATGTGGGTTAGTGACCTGTGCCCGGGTGGGCTAATCCCCCGTAAAAACAAACAACAACAAAGCCTCGAGAAATTAAGGTTTGTTTACATCCGGCAGTTCGGCTGCTCTCTCTCTCTCTCTCTCTCTCTCTCTCTCTCTCTCTCTCTCTCTCTCTCTCTCTCTCTCTCTCTCTCTCTCTCTCTCTCTCTCTCTCTCTCTCTCTCTCTCTCTCTCTCTCTCTCCTCTCTCTCTCTCTCTCTCTCTCTCTCTCTCTCTCTCTCTCTCTCTCTCTCTCTCTCTCTCTCTCTCTCTCTCTCTCTCTCTCTCTCTCTCTCTCTCTCTCTCTCTCTCTCTCTCTCTCTCTCTCTCTCTCTCTCTCTCTCTCTCTCTCTCTCTCTCTCTCTCTCTCTCTCTCTCTCTCTCTCTCTCTCTCTCTCTCTCTCTCTCTCTCTCTCTCTCTCTCTCTCTCTCTCTCTCTCTCTCTCTCTCTCTCTCTCTCTCTCTCTCTCTCTCTCTCTCTCTCTCTCTCTCTCTCTCTCTCTCTCTCTCTCTCTCTCTCTCTCTCTCTCTCTCTCTCTCTCTCTCTCTCTCTCTCTCTCTCTCTCTCTCTCTCTCTCTCTCTCTCTCCTCTCTCTCTCTCTCTCTCTCTCTCTCTCTCTCTCTCTCTCTCTCTCTCTCTCTCTCTCTCTCTCTCTCTCTCTCTCTCTCTCTCTCTCTCTCCTCTCTCTCTCTCTCTCTCTCTCTCTCTCTCTCTCTCTCTCTCTCTCTCTCTCTCTCTCTCTCTCTCTCTCTCTCTCTGTCTCTCTCTCTCTCTCTCTCTCTCTCTCTCTCTCTCTCTCTCTCTCTCTCTCTCTCTCTCTCTCTCTCTCTCTCTCTCTCTCTCTCTCTCGTACAACATTTAACCCTTCAATATATATGTGAACAGTAAATAAGTTTTTTAACATTAATGGTTTGCTACTTTTATTGTTCTAGTTATTAACATTAAATAACAACCATATTAATTTTTTTACATTAATTTTACTACAGCTACAACCAGGGTCTTATTTTCTTCAGTTTTATATGTAGAACCACTCAGTCACTGGTTTTGTTATCAACGAAAACAATGCTGTCTCATTTCCTCGTGTGTTTTAATATTCTACGTATTATTAATGAATTGTATTGCTCATTTTGCACACATGAACATTAATTCAATAAAAAGACATTCAGTAATAAACATTCATGAATCTTTTGTACATAAGAGAAATGATGCTGTTTACACGATTGTGCACGTCGTCCGAACGTTGGCAAGCCATTCAAACCCGTCGAAATTCGAGTTTCCGCCATCAAAATTTAAATTTATGTCGGTAGTCTTTTTTTTGTGTGTCCAAATAAAAAACGGTGAATTAAAAACTCGTGAAATTTGAGAAGCTACTGTACGACATTTAACCCTTCAATATGTCTTCAAAGAGACCACGAAGCAGTGAAAGTGGTGCTAACTGCTAACTTAAGCGCAAGTCACTATCTGTCCAGGAAAAGGGTGAATTTCCATGGTCCGGCACCGGTCAGGTCCCGAGGTTGCCGGACTAGAGAGGTACAGCCTGTATATGTAAAATTTTCTTTTGAGTATGTATCGGTAGAATGAGAAACATTTAACACTTGTAGGGCACATTTATTACTTATTATAGTTATTTTTACATTATATTAGATAGTTTCAACACTATTTATGCATTATATTCGGGTACACAGGCTTAGTATAAAACAGTGGATGGTGCAGACGACATACAGTGGTCCCTCGGTTAACGAATGCCTCGGTTAACGAAATTTCGGTTAACGAATTACCTTCCACAAGAATCTTCATCTCAGTTAACGAACAAAAATTTGGTTAACGAAATTCTTACGAAAATGTTTCGACATGCTTTGGCTTGCTCACCAGCTGGAAGATTAGTCCGCCAATACAGAAATCGGTTCTTACATTCGTTAAAATTGGAGTAAATATCAGGAAGGTTGTACTATTTAATAATTTTCCAAGTTTTATATTAAATTTTTTAGTCATTTTAACACTTATTTAACATAATTGCAGTATAGGGAACTAGTTTTTGGTGCGCCCATCAGCTACTTCACTCACCCACCAAGGCCTCAGTTTGTATCTCTGTTCAGTGGAGGAAACATCTTGCTTGTGAGTCTCTTGAACACAGATTAGTTTTACGTTTTTACAGTACAATTATTGGTCATTCTGAAATTTATTTAACATATTGACAATATATAGTGCAGTGCAGTGTTGATTTAAAGAAAATAATCTTGAATTACACCTAGTGAACTTAAAATTTTATGGGTGAAATGACGGCATCAAGCATGGGGTGATTTCTCTTCCACCCTCACTTCCTTCTCTTCTCCCTTCTCCTCCACCCTCACTTCTAATTCCCATCATCATCATCAACCAGGAGCTTTCTACATACACACCTCAAAGTAAATGTACTTTACTGCATTTTTTTTTTACTTTGTATGTAATTTTCGGTGAGCTGGAACCAATTACCCAAAATCCCATTGAAACAATCGTTTTGGTTAACGAACGACCTTCTGGAACGAATTGTGTTCATTAACCGAGGGACCACTGTATATGTGAAACAAATGACAACACGGGTTGTATGGAATTTTTTTTTCCTATACTGTATGTGTTAGCGACTTATATTATGTGAAGTGACGAATGTTAGTACTGTACAGCGTATATCAAGGGCCCCCTACTACATTCTAAATAGGGTAGTTTTTGTATTTTACGGCATATAAAATGCACTTTTTTGTCTGAAAATGGCCAAAAAAATCAGCCTGCATTTTATATGTGGAGTTGCAGTAAGATAATGAATCCCCCAGTTGCTAAATTCTACCTAACCCAAGTCCCAAATTAAAAATACTATGTTATTGCTTACTTAAACACAATATTATTTTTAATTAATTAAAAAAAATAATTATTGCAAATAGAAAAGCTCAATTTATAATTACTGTACTGATGATGATACCCAACTCTTCATAGGTAGCTAAGCAGTAACTGTTTCTGAACTTTACAAGCATTACAATTTATTAATGCCATACCTGCAACATTTATTTTTAAAACTACAAATACTGTACCTGATACAAATGACAATTTACAGATAACTTTCTTTTCTCATTTGCATCTGTTAGCATTGCTGGCAGCATTGTAGCCAGTTTAGACTTGTCACTGTAACCACCAGGCTACAGTGATCCTTCGGTTAACGAGATTTCGGTTAACAAGTTACCTCCCATAAGATTCCTAACTTCGGTTAACGAGCAATCCCTCGGTTAACGAGTTTCTTGCGAGCCGACCTCAACAAGTTTTCGCTTGCACTTGGCGGTCAACCAGCTGTAGTATTAGTCCGCCAATACAGTAATTGGTTCTAGGGCTTAAATTCCTTACTATTTTAGTAAATATCAAGAAGTTTATACTATTCAATAATTTTAAAAGTTTAATATTCAATTTTTTAGTCATTTTAACAATTATTGAACATAATTGAAGGTAAAGTGACTAGTTTTATGCGCGCCATCCAGCCTCTCAACACACCATACAGCCGTCAGTCTTTGTGTCTTTTCAGTGGAGGTAACATCTTGCTTGAGACTCTCTTCAACTAAATGCTTTTTTTCTGTGTTTGCAAGCAAATTATTGGTCATTTTGAAATTTATTTTACATATTGACAATATATAATGCAGTGCAGTGTTGATTTTAAGAAAATAATCTTGAATTACACCAAGAGAACTAAAATTTTGTGGGTGAAATAGCGCCATGGGGTGACTTCTCTTCCACCTCAATGCCTTCTCTTCTCCCTTCTCCTCCAACCCCATTTTAATTCCCATCATCATCATCATCATCATCCAGGAGCCTTCTACATACATACCTCAAAGTAAGTGTACTTTTCTAAATTTTTTGTTGAATTTAGGCAATTTTCGGTGAGCTTGAACCAATTACCCAAAAACCCATTGAAACAATGGTTTCGGTTAACGAGTTTTTCGGTTAACGAGCTTTTCGGTTAACGAGCAACCTTCTAGAACGGATTGTGCTCTTTAACCGAGGGACTACTGTACTGGGTCAAGCTGTACGGTGTTATAGTTGTTTTTCATCTCGTATTTTTGGGTAGATATACGTAACTTTCTTCATTTATTTTACTCAATTACATGCACACACCATGCTACATACATATTGTGAAAAAAAAATCTCCTAAGAGCAAACACATAAAGGGAATACAGTTAACCCTCACTTTACGCGGTTAATGTAACCCGGAGGGTACCGCGGAAAGTGAGGAACGCGTAAAGTGAATAACATAACATATGGGATTAATTGAAATGGAGTCCGGGCCGATCCCCAAACTCCACTTTTTGACGACACACAA